GGGGGGGGGGTATCAGCAGGACTAACATTACTGCTTGCCCTGCTCTTACATTTCTGTAGCTGGGACACGGCTGGCCAAGAGAAGTTCAAGTGCATTGCATCCGCCTATTACAGGGGTGCCCAGGGTAAGGATAACCCCCCTCCCCCCTTAACCACAATGATATACAGTAGCATACGGAGGGGACACTTCATAATCAAAGTCTGTTTCTTTCACATGGAAGTTACTAAGGACTATTTCTCTTCTCAGTGATTATTACAGTCTTTGATATGGCAGACATTAAAACCTTGGAGCACACACGGTGAGTGGGTGGGGTACAAGGTTTGCAATGAGATTCATTCGCAAAATATTCAGATAAACTCATTTAATGTGGACTGTTGACAGCTCTGCCTCTCCACCATGTCTTTAACCCCGTCCCTGTCCACACCCACAGCCAGTGGCTGGAGGAGGCGATGGAGGAAAACGAGCCTGCGATGTGTTTCGTGTTCCTGGTCGGGACCAAGCGTGACTTGCTGGTAGGAGCGGGCCTATGAACACATGACCGAATGTCCCGCTTTCTCTCTGAATGGCGTGTGCCCCACTGACCTCCCCCATGTCCTCCCTGTGATGTTTTGATCTCTCCAGTCACCAGCTGAATGTCAGAGGACAGAGAACGATGCCGTGAGAATGGCGGCAGACATGCACGCAGAGTTCTGGTCTGTTTCTGCAAAAACAGGTCAGTCGGTGGGTCTGAGTCACGGTGGGGGGGGGGGGGGGGGGAGCAGAGCTGCGATCTGTGTTCTGTGTGTTGGATTATCAAGTCTCCATTGTATGTGTCGAGGGTGATGGGTTTGCCTTAGCCTGGCCCTGTGCCTTCTTCCCAGGGGAGAATGTGCAGGACCTCTTCTTCCGTGTGACAGCACTGGCATTCGAGGACTCTGTGCTGCAGGACCTGGAGAGAGCTGGCACCCCCAGCGGGATAGGGGCAGAAGGCCTCATCAGTAAGTGGGGGCAGTACTGACATTCAAGTGGGTGGGATTTTAAGGGAGGGAGGAGGAGAAGGGAGAGCACCAATCCCACTGAAGCCAGACACTTTAATCACAGGAAAGAGGGAGACAGACAGAATAGAAACAGCTGGCGATGGGTGATATCAGACCGATTAGGAGTCTGCATTGGTAGGAGGACGCAGGCTGTATTAGACACCTCCTGTGATACCATTTGTATGCTCAGTGATCATCGAAGCTCCCCTTTGGCATCTTGGTTTCGTTAGGGATTGACGGCACCTCGGCAGAGGGATCCCAGTCTGGTGCTAAGAGGACACTGTCCTGCTGCTGATGCAAGGGAGGGGATATCCGAAGAATGGATCACCTTCAAGTGTGCCCAGAAGGGGCCCAAATCTCCAAAGGGACAAGCCGCCACAGAGCAGGACTCGGAAGAGGTCCATTATACCCTCCGGCCACTAGGTGGCCACGTGATCTGCCTGGCCAGCATATCCAGTCGCCATGGATCATGAATTGTGTTTTAATGCCCTCTTCAGTATTGCCTGCTAAGCTGAAAAAGCCTTTGTATCGAAGACCGATTGTGTCCTTTTGTGAGACGTCGACCACACTGCCTGCAAAGTGCTCCTAAAGTAACAGGCATATATTGTTATAGCAGTTTTCAGGACAATTAGCGTTAAAAGTAATAGTTACTAGATACTAACTGGACTCTTCCTGAAACACATGTTAGCCTGGCTGACTGGGCTTCTTATACAAATTGCTGTTGTCTTATGACCAATAAAGGTTATTTTACCAAACAAAGACAAAATCAATTTCAAGTCTGTGATCATGTGTTTTAAAGCTATAACTAGATCTACTCCTACATTTCCTCTTCTGTACCAAATGTTTTTAAACACCAGTCATCATTAACAATGAGCTGCCCGATATTTAGTCAGATACGACTGATGAAACTGTTGAATTTTTGTACTTTACTGTGGTGTGTTTGGCGTCATCTGGTGGCGAGTAATTGAAATTTCCACAACAGTTTTATTAGTCTTTCCTCAGTGCGCTAGCCTGTTGTTTAATACATTTAACCGAGACTCATGGTAACAGAAGTGGAACCTGTATTATACTGATATTTACTAGAGATTTTTGTACAACCGTGCACACATTACATGCGAGCAGATACGATATGCAGTTTCCAGAGAGTGAAAACTGAAGGAGGAAGAGTGAAATTTCACATTCAGTATATACCTGTCTCCAATTTAATGTCTAGGCTGGAGTGATAGGTGGATGAATGGATGAAATTTGCCAGCGGTTGCCTCGTGACGTCACGCTTTCGCAGCATTCACGCTGCGAGAGATGACTGCGAGAACACACCAAGGGGAACTCTTGTTTGCGCAGGACCATGGCTGCCGGGCACATGCAAGTTTTGGGAACATCAGTTCTCGGGTTGTACCACAGCCGGATCTCGGCCTAATGAGGCCAGTACTATGCGAAAACCGGCCAACGAGTCGTGCCACCGAAATCTTACTACTGTTTGATAAAATCCCGAAGTCAAGTAAATATAACAGCATGGTTAGAAGACAACGACACGGTACATCCCGAATATCGTATGAGTTGCAATGCATTGTACTGTAATATCGTTAAATTAACTGGGCAAAGATCATGATTAGCCGTGTAGAATGGAAACTGGCATGAGCAGCGAGCCAGCGTAGATTATGTAGGATGATCGGCAGCCTGATTGCATGCCATGGCCGCGAAATATTTAGTAGTAAATGAATCTAACAAAGAAGTCGGTCGAGATTTAACGATAGGATAACTCTTTTTACACATACTGCTTTGGGTAACTCACAGGAAAACACGCTTTCCCAGATCCTTTGCGCGCATCTGACCATAAACAAAAATGGCGTAATCTGACAGCTGCATTCCTAACTCGTGCATCTCGAATCAACTGTTTTTGTAATATAAAAAGTACGTAGCATGTAAGTGTTTCTCAGGTCTTCAAACTCTTCTCTTATTATAAATCATAATGAATTTGAATATGGAAACAATCATGTTTTTAAAATGCACCAGAATCGCGAGACCGCCGCGGAGGTTCGTGTTTAAGGATATTTGTGGAGCAGTATTATTTTTGCGCTTTGCGATATGTACTCTTTGGGCATTTTTTTGTGATGTTTAGGACAATAACAGCAGATTGCTATGTAATGTTTTAAAATAATATCCCTTTATCAGCGTATCAGTCAGTATTGGAATGATATATTAATCTAAGATCTAGGTAAAACACTATATTCTTTTATCCGTGAAACTTTAAAAATATAGGCAAATTCTGTTTGTGACAGCACAGAAGTTGGCATTTTCATAATATCTTCTTATAATAGACTGGGGTGTTTTTGTTCCTTTAGTTAACTAGGGAAATCTATGTGGTTTTGTCTGTTACTCACACTGATTTGCGAGCTCTAACGATCCCGCGGTTCTATTACAGATGATTTAATTATCACAATCTTTATGATGGCGACTGCGGTTCCTTCAGCCTGACTGTTCCTCACCATGAAGACAAACAAATCCTACAAGTTGGTGCTCCACAAGAAAGGCTTTGGTGGGAGTGGTATGGGTCTTTTTTATCAGTGTTATATGCCTTTATTGATCATGATGGATATGCTTTGTACATCACCCTATGAAGAAACAGCTATTTCATTGATTTATTGATCAATGATCAAAGTTTTCTTGGCCCCTGCTTCTGTACTGCCATTCAAAGAGGTATCTGTCTCTTTTCATTTCCTAGACGATGAGCTGATGGTGAACCCCAGAGTGTTCCCTCAGGTGTCCATAGGGGACATTGTTGAGATTGCACATCCCAATGATGAATACAGGTGATTCTATTGCTTGTATGTTTATCAGTTAAAGATTAGGAGGCTAGGTTGTGTTACTGTAACTCTGATTGTCTAGGACTAGTCTATGATCTCCTTCAGATTGTGGGCGTCCACAGTAACTTTGCTCATGACTTTCTCTACTTAAGCCCTCTACTGCTCCAGGTCCGAAGCCTTAAGGAGGACCTCCAGAAAGGTGAGTCCTCCTTGCTTCTATACATAATGTGCTGTCATAGGCCAACCCAGGACCAGAGGGTTTTTGGTTCGAATCGCTCAAAGAAACGTTATGTCCCTGTGAACATGAGGGGAAGTGGTAACACGGCTTGCTGAATGCATTTCAGAGACCATCAGTGTGGACCAGACCGTCGCTCAGGCCTTCAGGCTCCGGGCCTATCAGGATGTCTTCATTAACATTGTGGATCCCAAAGTGAGCCTCTGCCAACATGTCCAATGCAGGACTTCATTTTTCTTCTAGTCTTCTTTTGGCTGCTTCTCTGTGGTAAGAGCAGTATTTACGCATGGATTTGTGTTCCCGTGACAGGACGTCACATTAGATCTGGTAGAGTTAACCTTCAAGGATCAGTACATTGGAAGAGGAGACATGTGGAGGCTGAAGAAGAGTCTGGTGAGCGGCCAACCCCCTGCCCGTCCCTCAGTGTGTCCATCTGCCCGTCCCTCAGTGTGTCCGTCTGCCCGTCCCTCAGTGTGTCCGTCTGTGCATCAGCCTACACGTCTCTGTGTGTCCGTCTGCGCGTCCCTCAGTGTGTCCCCCTGCCTCTCCCTCAGTGTGACCGTCTGTGCATCAGCCTACACGTCTCTGTGTGTCCCTCTGCCCCTCCCTCAGTGTGTCCCTCTGCCCCTCCCTCAGTGTGTCCCTCTGCCCCTCCCTCAGTGTGCCCCTCCCTCAGTGTGCCCCTCCCTCAGTGTGTCCCTCTGCCCCTCCCTCAGTGTGTCCCTCAGTGTGTCCGTCTGCCCGTCCTTCACTGACTTCCCACACTCCCTCTCTTCCTCCAAGGTGGGCACGTGTGCCTATGTCACCCAGAAAGTGGAGTTTGCTGGAATCAGGTACTGATTTCCCTTCTGCTGTATATTGTCAGAGAAACAGAAGTGCACATTAGCTTGAGTGTTTCAGCTTTTTCCGCTTTGATGTGCCCTCAGAGCACAGGCCAGTGAATTATGGGTAAAGGGAGAGAAGGTGACCTGTGGCTACATCAGCGAGGACACCAGGGTGAGGCTCCCTTCATGGTAGCAGGAGATCGATGGGCAGCTGCTCCTTCTACTGGGGGACATAAAAATAATTTTCTTGCCTATTTCTTTTCCTCGGGTCACTTTTTAGGTGGTTTTTCGGTCAACCTCAGCCATGGTGTACATCTTCATCCAGATGAGCTGTGAGATGTGGGACTTTGATATCTATGGTATGACCCTGTTTTGGAGCTCTGAGGTGTGCGAGATATCTATGATGGCACCACTGTAGACCTTGACATGCAAGATAAGACGCTAAGAAGAGGCTAAAGCGGACCCTGTGATTATCTGTGGTGTGTTTCACTACAGGTGACCTCTACTTCGAGAAGGCCGTGAATGGCTTCCTGTCTGACCTCTTTGCCAAATGGAAGGTGGGTGGATCCGTTTGTTCGCTCACCCTGAATGTCCCATAGATGACTATTCATCTTTGTAGAGCTTCATTAACTCTGCTGCCCATGCTGACTGTGTTTCAGGAGAAGAACTGCAGCCACGAGGTGACGGTCGTGCTGTTCTCCCGAACCTTCTACTCTGCCAAATCCATGGGTATGCATTAGAATTAATCAGGGCTCACCTTCTAAAGAACCAGACCATAGCTTCTGCTTTGCTGATTAATAACACGTATGCAATATGCTGTTTTTGTCAGTGCAGTGGTGTTTATCAGAGTGAGCAGCTCTGTACTGTATATTCCCATTCCCTCTTTCAGATGACTTTCCGGAGATCCTGAGAGGTTCTTTGAGACAGGATCACGAGGGACGCTTCTATGAGGATTTTTACAGGTATGTGTGTCTGTCAGTTTCGCGCATCTTTTGTGTGTGCTGTGTTGTCCTTTGTGTAACTAGCCCTGTATGTGCGCATCTGCTTGAAACGGACCGGCACTCAGTGTTTGAAATCTGCAGAGTTTGGAAAAATATGAAACTTGTAGTGAGGACTAAGTTCTCACACGTGCTTTGTAATTAGACTGTTAAAATGATGATTCCCTCTTGGGTTAATTCTATATTTATATATAGAATTTGATTGAATTCACAGATTTTTATAAAATTGAGATTATCCTTTTGGGGACCGAAAATTTGTCCCCACGATGTAAAAAGTTACAGGTTCTTATCACACGTGTGGTTTGACGGCCGTGGGGATGAGCGTGGAAACGTGACCTCTCCTCCTTCACAGGGTTGTAGCTCAGAATGAGAGGCGGGAGGAGTGGACCTCGCTTTTGGTCACCATTAAGAAGCTCTTCATCCAGTACCCTGTGCTGGTGCGTCTCCAGGGAGCAGGTCTGGCAACGCACACGACCGACAGCCCCCCCCCCCCCAAAGGCACCCTCAGCAGGAAAATTGATAATCTCTCATTTTGGGGATGTATTTCCATTGAACTCTAAGGGGGTTCCTGATGGGCAGAGGCAGAGGTTCCTGATGGGCAGAGGCAGAGAGAACTATTTCAGAGCTTAGGTGCTGGTTTGTTGTGCCTCGTGAGTGAATCTCATCAGCATGACTCTGCGTGTCTCCGTGAGAGGCGCTATGCAGGGCCGTTGGCTCCATTACCGCCCCCAGCTCTGTTTGCTGTCATTCGCGTGTCCTGCCTGTGTTGTGTGGACTTCCCTTTGATACTTTGGATTCATCTCACAGTCCAATGAATGTAGCTAATTGATCTAGTGTCTCTGTATTACCTATAGTGTCCGTGGGTGTGTCCTTGTCCAATCAGGCACATCAGTCCCATCTGGGGTATCCTCTGTGCTTCCTGGGATTGATTCCAGGATCATTGTGACCTGGTACTGGATAACCAGTTATGGGTTGATGGATGGATGGATGGATGGATGGATGACACAGAATTAGGATTTTTAGCATTGATGTTAAACACATAAGCGTATGGGAGACCTTCACAGTGAGACAAAAGGAAATCCCATATTTCTGCACAGCAAGAAATTAGACATTATCTGAATGCTTCTGCCACGCAGCAGATAATGAGATGTTTGTGTCCCCATGCTGGTCACAGATGGCTTCCCTAATGGGCAAAACTCGACCGCTGCTCAAGGAAACTACCTGGAGGCCATCAACCTGTCTTTCAATGGTGAGTCTGTGCTGGAGGATCGATCGCATGTAGAGGGTGGAGTGATGAGCGGTGAGTTGACCCCCACCTCACCACTGCCACACCAACCCTCACTCTGATTCTGTCTCCCCCGCAGTGTTCGACAAGCACTATATCAACCGCAACTTTGACCGTACGGGCCAGATGTCGGTGGTCATCACACCGGGGGTGGGCGTGTTCGAGGTCGACCGGCTGCTGATGATTCTCACCAAACAGCGAATGATTGACAACGGTATGACCGACGCCCACACTCTCACACGGCCGTAACTCGCAATGCACATGCAGCCCTCTGGTGACGCACATGTGTGCTCGCAGGTATTGGCGTGGACCTGGTCTGCATGGGCGAGCAGCCGCTGCACGCGGTCCCTCTCTTCAAGGTGAGCTAAGCTGGGGCTTGGCTTTCATTATAATAGTGTTACAATAACATTTGTATAATATTGACCCTGTGATGGTTTCGGAAAAATGACAAAAATGCATCAAATTTGTGATTTTTTTTTTTAATGAAGTTGTGTGCTGTATATTATTGTACCACTGAAAAAGAACTGAGACCTTTGGAAGTCCAAAATGACTGTGTTAAGCATGTTCGTGACAAGTTCATATAAACTTTTCAGCTGTACAACTGTAATCATCTTCTTATGACTCCTAGAATTGGCCTGTGTATGATGTCCTGTGCCTTTGGAACTTTTTGCAACTTATATTAACACCCCAAAGAATCATGATTTCACTTCCTGTTTTTCTTTTTTTTTCTTTTTTAAGCTTCACAACCGCACAGTTCCTGGAGACTCTAGATTAGGTGATGACTACAACCTGCCCCACTGGATCAACCACAGGTGAGGGGAGGAAGGGGTGGGGAAAAAGAGCATATGGATGAGGATGGAGTCAAAAAGTGGCTGAAGGTGGTGTTATGGTTGTGATGCGAAGAGCAGACGTCATTGGTTAGGAGATGGATGTGACTTGATTTATGTATCGTTCCTATGATTTCAGTTTCTACACATCCAAAAGCCAGAGCTCCTGTAACAGCTTCACTCCACGCATCAAACTGGCAGGCCGCAAGGTAAGGGGTCAACTGGGAGGGGGCAGATAGTCGCCGTGGTAATGGTCGATCATTTTGGCAGACCAAGGGTGCTTCTCCATACTAAGAACACAAAGATCATACTTGTGGTCTTGGCAAACTCGCCTCCCAAAAATGAACTTGAATCATGGGATTGTTCTCGGTCGGAGAGGATGCAACCAGTGTATCCATGATATTTGAGATGGGGCCAGAACCACATTCGGGGACTTTTATCATCCCCTGTACTTCTGTTCTTGAGAATTGGAACTGGTCTTCAGTAATGGAGCATGACGTAGAATGAGTACACGAGAACGCAAGTACAGTTAAGTACGCATATGGAGAAATGCTCCATATCCTTCGGTGTATTACCCATGATCCTCTTTTCATCATCTGCTGAACGCTGTTGGTGATATTAGCCGTGTTGTTGATGAGTTTGTTTTGTTTTGTGCTCCTTACAGGTTCAAGCTGAACGATTTAGGAGCAACAAAGACCACAGTAAGACAATGACGATTTAAAATGCTGAATTTGTACGCGTTTTTGCTCTGGGAAACAGATGAATTCTGTTATCACTCTTAAATGCTTTTGCCTGTCATTGCTGTCAGATATTGTCCCTTTGCCTTGAATGAGAGGCATATTGCCTTATTTTGTATGCTTCGGTCCTCCAGCTCTTGGGGCACCGAAGGACTCTGAGAACAGCCTGCCCATCCAGGTGGACTACGATGCCCACGACGCCCAGGTCTTCAGGCTTCCCGGGCCGTCCCGGGCCCAGAGGAGCACACACTTGAGGTACGAGCTGTTGAAGGCTGCTTTGTGTGTATAATACACATCTACACGGTCTGTACCAATGTACCCCTACACGGACTGTACCAGTTTTAATATACGCTTTAAGCTCTATTTGGGCTATGCAAGGGGTAACCAGCATGGTGCCCACGGGCACCAGGATGCCCCCAAAGACCACATGAGTCTCCCGCAGTCCTGTTCTAAAAATAGCACAACTCACCAGTGAGCAGCATCTAAAATTTATCATTGTTGATAAAATCATAAACGTGATCAGTGTCTTCACATAGATGAGTATCATTAATCATTAATAATAATATATAACTAAAGGTAAACTGAGCAAATTTGTTATTTAAGAAGAGTGTTTCAAATTGGTAGCCCTGAAGTAGCTCTCAGTTTCAAAAAGGTTGGTGACCCCTGGGCTATACCATAATTTGGATACATTAATACGGAGTGTACAATTGCTTCTCTACACATGTACTTTTGTATAGACTCTTTTCACTGTATTACTACATGGGCATAATTGTGTGGACTGTACCATTCTACTTCTTCATGGGGTCCTTCTTATGGACTGTACCATTCCACCCCTGCTTGGGTTCCTTCTTATGCATTGTGCTGCACATCTGCAAACACCCACATGGTAAAGAGATGATCTTGCTCCCCAGGGCAGCGCGGGAGAGGGAGACCAGTGGGCGGAAGAGCTGGGGCTCAGTGGAGGTGAGTGGCTCTGGAGCCTCCCCACCAGCACGGGCCCCTGCGGCCCCTGAGGAGCAGCGAAGCTTGGCCTCTGATGACAGCCTGGGCCGAATCTCCAACATCCTGCTCATCCCGCGTCTGCCGGCCACCCAGTACGAGGTCAGCAGCTCACTGGGCTACACCAGCACCAGAGGTACGGTGTGTGTGTGTTAAATGTCTGATCCCGGTGTAAATGTCACACTCTGTCACTGTTCCTTAATGGTAAAAGCACACAGCTGTGTTTGTAAATATACCCGAGTGTAACAGAGCTTTTTTGTCATGTGAAATTTAAGGGTAAAAAGTACATTTTTCGCAAAAACACTTACAGAATGTAACTCTTCAGTATAGATCCGAAAATGGTGTGTGTGTGTGTGTGTGTGTGTGAGTGTGTGTGTGAGTGTGTGTGAGTGTGTGTGAGTGTGTGTGCCCTGCACTGTGTTGGCCACTGCCCAGGGTTGGTTCCCGCCTGCGCCCCTTATTCCCAAGATAGGCTCCAGTCCCCCCTGCAACCCCAGTTGGGATTAAGTGGTTACGGTGATGGATGGATGGATGGATGGCAGTAGTGGTAATAAACACAGTAATACTAATTATGTTGATGATAATATGACTACAGAGCCAGGTAGCCTCTCCCAGGCCATGCTGCCGGTGTGCACCAATCTCTCCGGCCGGCCCTGTCTACCTGTCTTACCTTGGGGTTAGCTGGGATTTATCCACTGCTTTAGCCAGCTGTGGGTGTGGGCTAACTGGTTGCCATGGAGATGGGGAATCGGTGACTGTCATATATATGCGTGTGTGTGTGTGTGTGCGTGTGCGTGTGCGTGCGTGTGTGTGCGTGCACCTCCCCACAGATCTGCTGGAAAAAGTGATGGAGTCACAGCGGGACTCCAGTGCCCCCGGCCGCTTCACCGTGGGCAGCGCTGAGTCCACCCTGCACGTGCGGCCTGGTGGATACGCCCCGCAGAGGGCCCTCATCAACCCCTTCGCCCCGTCCCGCATGCCCATGAAGCTCACCTCCAATCGAAGGCGCTGGATGCACACCTTCCCCATTGGTGAGGGGGCGCCACGCACCCAGCCACTAGCCATCCCTGATCATGTGACCTGAACGTAAACACACAAGTCAGACAGACATGTTGGCGTTGGCATCAGAGCTCAGCAGGGGGCAGCACCGTACCACGCACCCCCGACCCGGCACTGATGTTAATGACGCCGATTCCAGGCCCCTCGGGAGAGGCTATCCAGATTCATCACCAGACCCGGCAGAACATGGCCGAGCTGCAGGGGAGCGAGCAGCGGGACCCCGCCCACACCTCTGCGGAGCTGTTGGAGCTGGCCTATCACGAGGCCACCGGCAGGTTTGTCCCGCCCACTGGGGGGCGGGGTTCTCCACACAGATCCGCTCGCAACAACTAGAACAGCTAAGCTTACTTCCTGCCAATGGCTGAGTCTCACGTGGGTGTGTTCAGGAGGACGACAGGTCGTCAGGCGGGGGAGAGCGGCTTCTACACCGGCCTGGGGACAGACGAGCTCACGGGCAGCCCGGCCAGCAGCAACAGCACAGGTACCGAGTGGCATGGAGCGGAACCGAGCAGTGCCATCAGGTTAAGGCAGGACTCACCATGTTTACACAGTATTAAAACACGGTAACTGGGGTTACACATCTTAGCTGATACTGATGGTGGTGATGATGATGATGATTATATTTGCATAGGAACCCCCATCAACCGCGGCTCTTCATTTGAAGACTCCTCCTCGAACAGTCCAGATCCGAGTGAGTGGCCGTCGTCTCTCCAAACACGCACACACGTGTTCACACCGTGCACTCGGCATGTTAGAATTCAGGGAGGCCTCAGAAACCACAGACACGAACTCAGATGGTACCTGCTGCTCCACACAGACCTTCATGTTAGCCGGATGGGAGGTGGATTGAGTTCGCAGTGTGTCTGTCTGCCTGATTGAGTTTGCTGATGCTGTCCAAGCCCAAAACCCGAATCCCCTTATCCCTAATCCCTGATCCGTGCTGCGCCGGGTGTCCGCTTTCAGTCTTCGACTCTCTTTGAATTAACGGGGTCTTGTATCTTTTCCTTGGTTACGGTGCAGTTATTGGTTGCTTTCGGTCAGGTGACTTTTAACCTTTTACATTGACTTACATTGACTTGTAACATTTTACTTGAACAAGTCAGGTGAAATCATAGATAGGTATGTGAACTGGAAATGTGTGAAAGACACCAAAGCAAAGATGTTCTAGTAAGGTCCAGTATACACTCTCACTGCAGGAGTAATCAGACGTTGTCTCTTTAAGAAATATGGTCCTGTTGCTCTTTATGTTGGGCTTTGCGAGGTTTGAATGGCTTCACTATTCATGACAACATCGTCTCTCCCACCTTCACACTCAGTCTCTGTCTGTCTCTCTCATTCGCAAGTCCTCCCACGTCCCCTCTGCTGTCTCTCATCTTTCTGTATCAGTCCATTCACTCGGGTGGAGGGACACGGTTCTGTCGCCTGCGCGTATGTGAGTGTGTGATGCTTGTGTTTGAGCACTGTAACAGGCATGCCGCTTGTGAGAAGATGGTGCGTGGTTGCCCGCATGCACGAGTCCAAACCGGATCCACGACGATTCCCTGCGATTCCATCTAATTGCTTGCATGCGTCGATCTGGCCTGAGCCGAAATCACCACCAGCACAGCCAATGAGGACAATGACAGTAACTCGCTCCTTTCTCTCCCTCTTTCCTCTCTTCGTCTGTCCCTGTCTGCCTGGTGTGTCTGCCACCCCCCCTCCCCACGCCACTGCTCCACCATTTGCTCCACATCCTAACCCTCACCCACTCTCTCTCTCTATACCTTCCCTCGTTCGTCCCTCCATCTGTTTTTCCTCATTAACCCGCCCCCCCCCCCTTGGTGTTTATTTGCCCACTCTTCCTGTGCCCCTCACCCTCCCCGCTTGCACCATAACGGGCGGCCTGTGTATGTGTGCTTCGGGTGCGGGGGGGTGGGTGGGGGTTCTCCATGAAGTCCTGGTTCTGTCCGCACCCCCGACAGTGCCCAGCTTCTGCTGCACGGTGGGGGTGGACTGGAAGTCCCTCACCACGCCAGCCTGCCTGCCCCTCACCACCGACTACTTCCCGGACCGCCAGGCCCTGCAGAACGACTACACAGAGGGCTGCTATGATCTGCTGCCCCACACCGACATGGAGAGGTGCCCGCTGTGCCAAGATGTCTGATTGACTGACACTCACGTGCAGCCATTGATCCAATTGGCTAACAGACACACACATTGATCTGACTGGCAGATAAACACACAGACACATTGGTCTGATTGGCAGACACACACACAGACGTTGATCTGATTGGCAGACACACACACACACATTGGTGTGATTGGCGGACACACACAGACATGTGCACAGCCATTGGTCTGTTTGGTGGGCACACATACAGACACATTAGCTGTTGTCAGACTCTCCTGACCTGCTTGTGCCTGGTCCTCCTATGCCCCCCACAATGCCTCAGGAGAGATGACGATGCACCGGTGATGACAGCGCCACAAGTGTTTGAAGAGTTCATCAGCCAGCGCCTCATGCAGGGCTACCAGATCATCGTGCAGCCGAGCGTGGGGAAGCCTGTTCCCTCGGTGGCCCCGCCCCTCAGCAGCAGCCCCCTGTATTCCCGAGGTTCCTACTGCCGTCACGCCGTGGGCTGCAGGCCTACATCCAGGGTTTGAACTAGGGCAAAATTTTCACCCAGGCCAATACGAGCACATGAGTCATGTGACCTAATTGGGTCGTGTGACCTGTGATTCTTACTGCAGTTGGGAAGAATGTAGCATAACTTTCAGGACGGCCAATAAAATATGCTGCATTGACTTTTGAGACAAGGTATCGGTGTATAAATTAGTTGAGGCAACCTCCTTCAGTAGTAGTGTCTGCTCACAGCATTTCTGTGTGTCCGTGTGTGTCCATGTGTGTCCATGTGTGTCCATGTGTGTCTGTGTGTGTCCATGTGTGTCTGTGTGTGT